TAATGTACCCCAAGAAAAAAGAAAATATAAGTGAAGATAATTCTCTTTTATCAACAAAAAAAAAGAAAGAATTATGCCGGAATAAATGATTGAAGTTGATAACATTAGATAATAATTTCATTTTTTTTCTGCTATAGTACTTTTAAAGTTTTTTATTTTGCAAAAAATTACTACAAAATATGTAGTAATTTCATCGCAGAAACTCTCATATTTACAACTTTAAATTTCTCTTATCTAAATTATTCTTCATTACCACTAACAATGAAATATTAATTAAATTGCAGGTTCCTGGGCTGGTACCATACGAAGGCCAACCTGTAAGAACATAAGAGTAAATGCTGCAGGTGTTCCGGATAGCAAACATCCATATTACGTCATAAGGAAAAAATACGGCAGCCATCCTCATTCGGATCCACCTCTTGGTTTAATGAAATGTTTATGTTATTTGACCCGAGATGGACGAGCAACAGGGAATGCTTTACTGTCGTACAAATGTTTGGAGAACTGTAATCTGCAACCACGTCCTCATGGAAATAATAAACATAGCCAAAGCCCATATATGAGGACCTATCCATCAACTTTGCTTAAGATCAAAGAACGCATCGGATCACAAAGTCCAGCGGCTATTTGGAATGAACTGTCAGTTGATTCTACTGGTAATATGGATGCACAGGCGACACTTCGAGATAGGAAACAGGTCTATAATGCTCGGTCAATTCGAAAGAAATCACCAGGTATACTATCATTTCTTGCACTTCCGAAATTTTCTCAACAATGAAATTTTATGAAATTTATAGTTTAGTAAACAATAATTTCCATAAGCAATGAACTTTTCGAAAGACTCTGTAATTGAATTAAGTAAACTTAAGTAAACTTACCTTCAGTAAACTTACCTACATTAAGTAAACTTACCTTCAGTAATTTCATTTACATCTTTGATTGTAATAAAAAAAATAAAGCTAATTATATATTTATTGATGTATCAGCGATTTTTGGCGTATCATTTGATAGCAGAACAATGAGATATTTTTTATTTTTTATTATAGTGAAGTGTTTGGTAAAAAAAGATAAAAGGGAAAAAATTCTTTTTAACAAATCCTCCAAATTTGTAATTGCCACGAATTAAAAATCTTCCAAATTTGTAATTGCCACGAATTTTAGATCCTCAAACACGGGATGATGTTAACCATCTAAAGCTACGTATAGCAACATTGGAGGAGCAAAATAGCAAGCTGATATTTACGAATGCTAGTTTGATTGAATTAGTGAACGATTTACGTAAGGCCAAAGAAGAACTGGAAGCGGAAAATCGTCGCATAAAGCAGAACAGTCTTCAAGGAAAAACAAACGGTATTAATACTTCGATCTTCTACCAGTTAATAATAGTTTTATTTTGCAACCTGGGTTATTTAAGGAACATAGCAGAATGTGATAGAAAAGTTAGGAAATAACTACTTAGGAATAGATATTTGATGAAAAGTTTTGAAGCACAATTCCTTCTTCTTGAGTGGAATTACTAGTAGATAAGTCAGACCTACAAATGAAAGTGAAAGTAAATTTTCCTGTTTTGATCTGTTCATTCATTTCAACATGAAAGATAAAATCTTGTTTCTTCTAATATGAAAATGAGGATTTCTACTTACCTAATATGAATATGAATATGAGAATGGTCATTATAATATCACTTCCTATCCATTGTGGAACTGCACTTCGAAAAATAATTGAATAAACATTTTAAACTTTCCTTATTTCTTCCATTTCCGTTATCATTGTTAATCACAATTGAAAACTAAAATTTTTTCTTTTCATCACAATTTGTCATAAAGTATGCATCTGCGATTGCAAAATACTTCTGATTTTTCGAGATAATTCCAAAGGTATCGCAAAAAATCCATCAAAGTTTTTGCTTTTTTGCTTGTAAACGAAACCTCTTTTCCAGGTTTATTACTTCCCAATCCTACAATACTTAATTATCCGGAGCAACATGCGGATAAGGCTCGAATTTATGAAACGGGAGCAGAATCAACGGTAATGATGCGTGACCGATATATTGCAGAGTGTCGAATGCAAGAACTTCCAACAATAAATCAATCAACATGCTTTGCAGGTGTTTCAGGTCACAAATACTAACCATAATAAAGATGTGAAATGATATTTTATTAAATCGCAAATGTATCGCACTTGATAACAACATATTCTTCAAACCGTTTGAGATACTCATTAATAGGCATCAATGAGTTATAGTATTAGAAACTTACGAATCAGTTAAGATGTACCTACGTATCCGACATTTATGCGTTTTTCGAAATTCATTAGGGTATTTTTATCTTTGGTAAAATTGCTACTCCGTGATATTACAAACGTGTCAAAATTTTTTTTGATGTTTTCTGAAATGTTCCTGCTTATTGCTTAAATGCATTTACAAATGAATTTTGACTATGGTTGAGGATTCATGAAAGGGCTACCCAGAACATTCTGTCAAATAATAGCACACATAACACCGTTGCTAGAACAAGCGAATTTTTGTTTAAACCACAGAGCTCGAAAAAAACGATCAGAATTTGCACAAATATCTATCAATAATATCATCGAGAGCAACCTCCAGAGCTTCGTTGGTTCCTTTTAATTTTGATACAATTACTTTTGACCACATGAAATATTCTTTTACTCTTTGTGCATTCCAACCAATCGGTGTACCGCGCTCCAAATCCCGCAGATTATAAAGTTTATCTGCAAGATGGACCAATTTTGCCTGCAACATTCTGTATTTGTAAACCTCATGAACTGCATAACATAAAAACAATAATTCCAATTTTATTACATTTATACTGTTGGTATATTAAAACTCATGCATTTAATATACCAACAGTATACTTTCATTTAGTTTCGATTTCCACTCTAATCAGCACAGACTTTTTTTATCAAATGCTCATTATTATTATTTTACAAATTTCTGCAGTGTATTTTCGAATATCTACAGTATATTTTTAATTTACTCCCCGTATTTATATCTCACCAGACTATGTTGTATTGTCTTTTTCTTAAAATAACAACCTAGCATATTTCTCGCTATATCTACTGATGATCGATTGATTCTACCTCTTATAAATTAAATACATCAAGTTTTCAGTATCCTGATAAAAAGTATCATCCAACAGAGGCTACAAGAAGCCTCTCAAATATCATTATTATTTTCAAAAAAACGCTTAATTCAAGAAAAATTTTTTGAAATTAACTCATGCGATGTACAAAAATGACACTGTGAAAATACTGAACAAGAGGTAAAAAAAAAACGATAAAACTGGAAATGTTAGTTTTCACTTCCTGTAATTTGAGGTTGGTCTTTGTGCTCAGAATGATATGTTAAGCATTTGGTTACACCCAAATAAAGCAAGTTTTCCCCAAGATAAGCCATCTATGGAAAGAAAAATAAAATATATGACACAGTCCAAATGAATAAATACTAAATACATAATTCTTTTCTTTCTTGTCGTTTTTCAATGTTATCAAATTTTAAATTAACCTTATGCGAATGTCCTACTGCATTTTCAACTTGCAACTGTTTCCGTATGGAAACCGGTAAACTTTTATCATCAGTGCATTCCTGCACGATCCGACTAACCTGAAATTGAACCAATAGATCTCATTACATTAGTTATTTCTCCTTAAGCTAGCAAAAAACTTCTAGAATGAAAAGCACCTCTTCGCCAAATAAGCCACTGATTTCCTGGAAAGTAGTAGCTGTATCTTCAACGGTATCGTGTAACAGCGCTGCTACAATCGTTGCACTATCCGTTATACCAGCTTCAGAGGTTAATATATTTGCAACACCTAAAATAAATCCGAAGTGTTTTAATCCAAAACTTGATGATCTTTAGCATCACACGTAAGAATGGTAATAAGTGAACTAAGAAAATGTAACACAGAAAATTGTGTTTCTCACACATAAAAAAGACAACTACTTGAATGATTGCAATACGATAAAATAAGTCACCTGCTATACTTTTGAACAGCACAGTTACATCCAATCACTAACAGTTACATACTTTTTCATTCTTTTTAATTAAAATATTTTACTAGCTAAATAGTTGCGACAAGCAAAACTGTTAACTTACCGATGGGATGATTGATGTAAGGCGTTTGCGAAACATCTTTTCGTCTCTGTAAGCGATGACGTTCAGCTGCAAAATTGCATGCCTTAATAACGGTACATATGTCCATGCCTAATAAGCCAATAAGCCAACAATAAGTTCAGGCTGAAATCCAATGCATATTTATCTACAACGAATATCCAACGAGGATTTCGGATTTTCATACCGGGTCAGTGAGCAGCTGTATAAGAGTAGGCTACGATGAGTTGTTGGTTTAGTGCGGGTAATCCGGGCGGGTCTTATTTAAAATGCGCTTAGTTCGCGGGACATGAACAGGTGACTGTGGTACTAAGTTTGTAGGAGTTTAAAGTTCAGCAAGTTCCAGATCTGGATATTTCTGCATTTGGTATGTCTGGGATTCATCAGCACCGTGGAACGAAATATATATTTCCTTTTTTTGTCCTTTCTCTGTTCCTCACTATTTCTACATTGTCGTTACCGATAGTTTCATCACCTCTTTGTGGTATAATTCATTCTGATCATGTTTTTACAGCAAGTTGTTAAGTCTTATGTACTACAATGGCTGATGAATATAAGAGAGAAGCTATTGATTGGGTAAGAATATTCGTTTATTTGTCATATGAAGATTACCTGTTATATAATTGTTACTAGCATCTAATGGCAAATTACTAATGAGCTAAACATTTTGTGGTAGTGATAATATGTGATTGCATTTTAGATAGGAATATTATGGAAGAAGTCATAAGTAATAAATATGTCAGCCAACGAGAAAAATCTTTTCTTATGATTTAGATAGTTCAAAAGGCACTTTTTGAATACACCTTTTTCAGTCGACATTTTTTGAATACACCTTTTTTTGTAGTACAATTTATACTACTATGATCAGTGTTTATTTCTTGTTTTAGTCCGGAAAGAACGAGGAGTCGAAAGATGAAAGTAATGAGGAGGAAATTATTGGCGATGGCAAACAGAATAAAACAATAGCTGATGTCGGAAAAGACGAAATGAATGTTGAAGGAAAAGATGAAGGCAGTGTTGAAATAAAGGAAGTGGAAAGTTCAGCACCATTTACTGAAGATTTGAACAAAAGCGGCAGTGAAATGAATGATGCAATCAATGATTTAGAAGAAACCCCGAAAGTAGCTAAAAAGGAAAAATCAAAGCCTGTAAAAAAAGGTTCCTTCTCTATCAAAGACTATTTTCGTAGTTTTGAAAACTTTATAGCCATATATGGCTTTTGAGAGTATTGATCAGCATGATGGCTGTTATGTTTTAGGTATGATCGTTTATTAATGATAATGATAAATAAGTATGAAGACTCCCAAGTGCCGTTTTTTGATCCATATTGGATATAACAAATTGCATTGTGCCATTATCATAGACTTTTAGGCCTTCTTGATGAGCCAGTTGTGAGAGAAGGAAAAAGACAGCGCCATGCAGTGGAACGACTTGCTGCTGTTTCTTCTCCACCGTCAAAGAAAGCATCTTTGGACGCTGTTGGATCAGGAACCTCTCTTGGTGACATTGAATTCGGTAACATTTTCGTCCAGAGAGCAGTATTGAAATTACGACGATTGTAGCAATGTTACGCTATAGTTGTAGTGAAATTTCGAATACTATGTCGAATTTGATTATCTTACTATCTCCGCATATCGATATTTTTCTCTGGAATGAAGAATCATAGAATTTAGTTTAAAGAACCGTCAGAAATTTGGTCTAGCAGTTTTCTTTTCAAGTTTTATATAATTCTTTTCTTTGATTATCTATCATGTCTGATTTTTTTTTTGTTTTTTAGTGAATACTGGTATTTCTAAAGCACAAAATGAGACATTGAAATGGCTTCATAGGCTGTGTTACGGCACTCCCGGCACAGCAACTTCCAGAAAAAGAGACCTCAGAAGATTTAATGGTTTTGCATTTGATGAAAAGAGTGCTGATTTCGACAAGAAGAAGGCAGCAGCAATGAAGCTTACAAATAATGAGGTGTTCAATCGGAAGTTTTAATAGCTTCAAAAGCTTGGTGCTCACAACATAGGTATTTTGTGTACAGTGCATAGATGTTTTATGATAGTACAGAGCTTAAAATAACTAAAAGGTGAGTGCTAAATAAGCCTATCCGATAGAAGCTTGTGGTTCCAGTTGTTGAATGATCTTATGTATATATATCTTGGATGGATCCATAGTGATTAACTTGAAACATTTTATTCTTACGAATGTGTTCTATTGCCATTTTTCAAATCTCTCTACCAGTTTTTCCGCAAATGAGATATCGCAGCCTGATTTTTTGAAATGTATGAATATATGAAACTGAAATATATCCAGTGAAAAAGATTCAGAAAAACTCCTGAATCCTTGTTAGGTAGCATGAATCGCGACTTTCTTTTGGAAGATAATGCACAATCATGGTTTATTACTAAAACATATAATGCACTTAATACAATAAGGAAAGTCCGTTGAAAATGAAATGTTTAAATAATTTCGGCAGGGTGGTGATGCATCTTTACCTTTTCAGTTACATATGATTGGAAGAATTTTGGGCTCAGAGAGAGGACATACAAAGGAAGAAGCAGTAAGTTTATTCGTAAACTGGTGATTTCATTTTTTTTTCGGCATAAAAGTATATGAATTTATGAGCTCAGCGTTTGAAAATTTCACTCTTACGAAATAGAGATACTATTTTACATAGTGAAAACTTATTATTATACAAATTTAAGGTGATGAACGTCCTTCATTTTTTGCAAAAACCGGAAGATAAGGGCAGGAAGATCACATCAATAAAGAAGCGAAGAAGCTCTTCAAAATCGTCGGGGAAAAAAGCGAAAAGGAGCAGAACTGAGAAGAAAGGTATTTTATATGCTTTCGCAATAGGATAGAAATATATAAGCGATGAATAGAAGTTAACTTCCGTTTCCAAAAGCATAGAGATACTATTTATAGTGAAATTTTTTTTATTATACAAACTTGGATTTTTTGTAGGAAATAAAAAAAGTACAAAGAAATTAAAAGAAGAGTCGAATGAAAATGATGACGCTGGTCAAAGCGGGGAGGAATCTAGTGGTGATGAGGATGCGGAAGAGAAGAAATCAGACTCGACAGGCACGACAAAAAATCGTTCAGAAAAAATGAAGGGTTCCAGCAAATTAATTTCCGTTTCCAAAAGCCTTACGGTAAAGGTTTTTTATTTAAATTTGTTAAGTTTTTGCGCCTCTTTGGGACTGATATTGACAGTAGTTTAGAATCGATTTCATTTCACAGTTGATCGAAAATGGCAAATTGAATGATGCATTTTATTCCATAGTATCAAGAAAAAATAATGTAAATATGTCAAGGAAGATCCAACTTGGGGCGATGGTGGGCCTTCAAATGCAGAAGTGGAAAATGCTATCAATGAAATACTTCGTTCTGTGGATTTGGTGAACTGCACGATGAAGCAGATGTGTGAAAGGGTAGGGATTTCACTCATAATAAATCAAAATGGTGGCGCTATAAAATTTAAAACACATTAGTAAGAAATAAAATTGTTGACAATCGGGAATGACTGGGGGCTGTGTTAACCGGTAATTAATAGACGATTTCTTAGTGACATTAACAGTAAAACCAATAATTGATGCACAGATACTATGCTCTAAGACTTCGTGACGCATAACGCTCACTTATGGGACCTAATGTCTTATGTGGCCGGGCGGCAAATTGGTAAATTAGAAAAGAGCTGACCCTGATTGGGTACAACTAATAAATCAGTCCAGTGGGAAGGTTAGATAAGGCGCTGCTTTCATTCTCATTTTGTTTAAAGTCAGTTTTGTAGATTGCGGAAAAGTTCCCCAATTTGGATATGGCGACGTATAAAGGTGCACTGAAAGAACGCGTGAAAGCAGCTTTGGAGAAAATGGAAGATTCATGAAGTTACTGTACTTTGCAGATCTCGCAGTTATTGTATTTTTCAGTCGTTACCTTTAAAGTTTGTTTCATTTTCGTAGATTTCCATATTGCCTCAGATTTTAATGGCGGCATTAGCCGCAAAATAATTCTTTTGTTGACCTCATTGCGCATTTTTTATTTTAATCACCGAATTTGACCTTTTTACATCTGAATGGCAGAAGATATATAACATAATGTTAGTGAGGACACTTGTATTAAAATTAATTGTGAAATCATTAAACTCTAACAGTTAATACATTTATAGATCGTATTACCTGAATTTTGCTATTATCAGACTTATAATTATTGTCTAGAAATGCCACTATGTCGAATATCAAACTCAGAAATATTGTTCCAGATAACTGTAAATTCCTTAGCTTCACTTTTATTGAATGTAGTGAGCAACCGTAATCCGTATGAATATTTATTTTGCATTTTTGAAGTAGAGATGTCAGAACAATTGGTTTGAAATTTAATCTCCAACTTCTACCACTAACAGTACGCTATCATTCCGATATACTGTTTAATTTGATTGTAATTATTGCAATTTGCTAATTCTTTTACCTCTGTTGCGTTCAGTCATTGATCCCACTGACCCTGCTATAGACACAGATAAAATCGGCATCCCGCGACACCGAGATTTTAACCAATCGATCTATCCTTCTAATATGCTTTATGCATATTTAGAAAATATCCGATATGCCGATGAATCTTATAGGAAAGAGGAAGCTGGATATGTTTAAGACGGACGCGGAAATTTTAGAAAAGAAATGCCAAAAATTCTTTTAAGAGTATATCCTAAATGTAGCGACTAGATTTTCCAGTATTAGATATATTCAATGCATATGAAAAGGTGCTAAGAATTTATAATTTTGTTTTGAAAGCAGCAAGCTCCAACATGATTAATACAGCTGATTTAGAAAACACGGTAGCATTGGTGCATAAACATAACGAGAACATTAAATTTTCCCAGTGGATGTTATAGGTGACTATTTTAAATATAAAACATTGGCTGATTGTTTATGTCATTTATCAAATAACTGAAAAGAATCTAGTGGATAGCGCGCGTAACAACCATATTTGCAGAGGGCACCAGTCCTGGAAATCACAAGTTGAATCTATTAAACAAGCACAAATATGTTCTATTAATATCTGGAAACAAACGTACCGAGAACTTTGATAGGTGCCTCCATATCTTCATCGGTAAATATTTTACGAGGGAACGGAGTCATAAGAGTAAAGGGTATACCATCCATTGTATCCTTGTCGTGCATTTCTACCCATAAACGTACATGAGATAATGGTTCATCTGACTGAAATGATATACATGATGTGCTCTTTAGTACATTCTACACGATCTTTACCTTGTTTTACATTGCAAATCCTCAAAACTTAATCAAAGAGGAGTAACAAATGTCAAAACGAAATTTTAATTGGACAATAATTTTCTAACAGTTGAGAAATAGGTAGACTTCCACATGCAGTTGCTGAACTTCAACCAGAACTAAATTTAGTCTCATCATGGGCCATGTCGCCGTACTAAAGCTAAACTTACTTTAAACTTCTCCTTTATGATTGAACCATCAAGTAATCGTACTTGTATTTGACAATAACCATCATCCTTTATTGGAGATATTTTATTTACAGCGGATAATGGCGTATTAACTGGCACTGCCGTCGACTGCAGCCGTAATTGTTCATTTAACTTACGAGCTTCTCGATCCAAACGAATTTGTTCCAAAACACGTTTACGTGCCTCTATTTCCTTAAGAAATAATTATAGGTCATAACTAGTGCTATGATATACCTTTATTCAAAACTTTTCAAAGCACAACTTCACGCTTTTCGCGTTTCTTTTCTTCCAACATTTTCTTCATTTCCATTTCTTTCCTTTCTTCCTCCACTTTTGCCATTGATTTTCCTTCTAGACGACGTCGTTTTTCCTACAATAAATTTTTTTTTCTGCCGCAGTAATTGTTCAAAGGAAAAATTATATTTGAAAGATTAAGGAGGTAAATACCAACTTTCTCTAGCGTTTCCTTCCTTTCTTCGTCCTCCTTTTTTGCTCTTGCTTCCTTCAATTTATTCTGCAGTGCTGCCAATCTTTCTTTCTTCTCTTCTTCTGTCAATGGCTTCACAGTTTCCGTTGATTCGCTAAACGCTTCATGTTTCGTACGTGCTGCATGGAACATAACAGCCTGGTCATCGGCCAAATGTTTCCCACACCTAATGGCATACACGTCTTATATGTGCAGTGACCAGTCATCTGTCATATGACACTTCGAACATTAGTAAAAAGACTATTATTTGCCGAGCCGATTTAAATCATAGAGGTAACTAAAGAATGGAGTTACATGTGTCAACTGATCGGAATACCGGTTACTACAATGATGTGTACCGATAAAACTTGATCTCTCAACTCTAAAATACATTTGGCTGATGTATTCATGTAACTAATCATTTAACTTCTTTAAACATGCATACACATCGCATTTGAAAGACATTGCTTGTGGCACTTCAGTAGAAGATGGCTTCGATGGTTCCTCCTCTTCAGCAAATTCTACGATCGAATTTTCCTCTTCCGGTGGTTGTGGTTGGGCAGGTTTCGGCGGATTTGTATCACTATCTTTCTGATGAGTCTCAATCCATTCCACTGCCTCAATCAGTCCAGTTTCACCAGTTTCTCGTAGCGCTTTTTCGCTAAAATCAATAACTTTAGTGTGAGACCTGATTTTCATCGGCTACTTCTTTCAACAATTTGCATACTTATCTTCTCATTTTTCTATCATGCAAATTACTGGTGATAAAATTTTTTGGAGAGAATAGAAACATACGCAATATCATGGGGAAAACCCATTTCTTCCAATTGATCTAGCATCGACATTTCCTGTAAAGTTCCAATGTCCTTCAATTCATACAAAGTTGTCAGTGGAAAGCTATTCATTTAACAAATTGACGGAATTTAATGCAAAACCAAAGAACTGAAGTGGTAAGATGGCTAGTCCAAACTCCTCGTCTTTTACGTTTGAAATCACATGAAACTTTTCGAACGGAATTCGTACCTCGAAAAAGTGCTACATTTACACAACATAAAACATGTACAAAAGTTCGACTTTTTCACAGTGACCTAGTGGTAGTTAATTCGGCTAATGCTTAGAGATTCCTAAGAAACATTACGTCTAAAAGATCTTATTAATTACCTCCAAATTACAGTGTATTATCACAATGTACAAATGATGCTTTATGACATAGCCAATGTTAGGGAGGTATTTAATTTAAAAAAAATAAATTTATTGATAAAAATATTTGTTGTACAAAGTAAAGAATTGTCAAGTGAGAGATTCAAACAATCTTTAAAAAGCTACCTTTTTTGACGAATATCTATAAGAAATAAATATCTTATTAAAGTCAACAGCAGTAACAAGAAAACTTGAATAAAAAGTGAAATAAATTACTAAAGAGAATATGTATCTAAATATAGTTATGAATGTACATAAGGTTCGTTTGTAACTGTAGTAACAGGACAAAAAAGACATAGCTGAGAAAGTTTAAAATTAATATGAAAGTGATTGGTCTTAGCAAAGCTCAAAAGTAGAATGTACACAAGCTCTTCACAATATTAATATAAATGTAATTTTTTTAAAAAAAGGAAAAGTTTTAGATACACATGACACTGTAAAGTGATCTCATTCGATTTCAACTGTATCTATAAACGAAAGATTGTGGAGGAAAATTATTTTGATAAAGGAACATTGACTTCAGAAAAGTATTTACACAAAGCCCTAGAATTCATGAAAAGCAAAAATAAATATATGGCCAACCACAAACAGAAGCAAACAATTCAAATTGAAACTTCTGAAGTAAACCAAATTTTAAAAGGATCGATATTCTGCGAATAGCAATAATAAATATTTCAGCATACATACATAGCAGCGCTATTGTTGAGATCGCAAAAGGATATGTATATTCTGCAAAAACCAGCAGTAATATACCACCATTTGAACGCATCTTTTCTGCAAAGAAATTTGATTATGAATCAACTCAGCACTTCATAACGCTGGAAACTTGCTAAAAAACTAATAATCAAAGAACTTAATATTACTACCTGTTCCTCTTGCATCGATCCAGCAATAAATACAAAATTTTATGTATGTTAGCTAAGATTTGCATTATAAGAACTACTACAAACCTTTACCACAATATTTTATACACGTGGAGGGAGTCCAATGCGTGATGAGTTGTAAACATCGCAAAAATCACAGCCACATTTCCTCAGTTCCCACGCTTCAACCTGAATATGTTTTTTCAGATTATTAAAAGTGACTTAAACTAGTAGCAATTTGATGGAGTCTATAATTTCTAATAGCAAGTCTGAACACCCTAAATCGACATGAAATTGTCAGTTCATTACTGAATAGTTAATCGCCTGTTTTATTTTCAGCAAACCAGAATTCCTTAACAATCAAACTTCCTTACTTTAACAAAAGGAGTATCATTGTTCTCCCCGCTGTTCTCCAATAAATTAACTACCAGAGAACCGTTTTCCAAACGCTGCACTCGGTTTTCTAAACATAAGATCATATCAGATATGAAGAGTACGGAAACTGTTCCTTACGAAGTCATTCCTCAATAAAAAAAAAATTAATTTAAACAAATCAGAACCTACTTCTCCCTGCTCTGTTTTGCGCAGAAATAAGTTCAGCCATTAGTGAATCACGCCTCCTTAAGAGATCTTCCTGTCGAGACTGAAACAAGCTTTCTTAGAGATTCACTAAAACACATGATCCAAAATGATATAAATAAGATATGCCATTGCGATAAGATTTAATAAACTTGATTTGTTACCAGCGGATCAATTGACATGTCTTCTACCGCTATGTGCAACATTTTTTCCATCGTCTCTTGCCCGCGTCGAACTGCCGCCTCCAGAACAGCGATATCTTTCTTCAACTGGGTTAGTCTCTTGGTTCTACTCGCATTTTCAGCTAATTTTTCAGCAGCATCATCATCAAGTTTTTGTCTCTTCGGTTCTAAAAAAATAATTTCCAAACATCTCTTTTTAATTTGTTGCCAGTTTTTTTCCTAGAAACATATGACCTAATTTATTACTCATTTTGCCGACGAGATATAATTTACAAATAGAGATTGATAGTAATCTTAACCACAGTTTTGCGCTTTAAAAGGTCACAACTAACCTCACCTGCAACAGATTATCACCACCATAATGAGCAGACACATAATTTCCATGTTAATCACAATCTGACTGATTTTATTGGTCTATTTTTGTTCAGCTTTCATATAAACATTGCAGTTTTATCACAAAAAAGTTGCTATGTTAATTAAATACTAAGACTGAGATCCACTGAACATCAAACCCGTCTTTACAAACAATAAAAATCATATGAAAGTTTTATGAAATACAATGAACAACGTGTGTGGGTCAGCCGTTGAACTGTCATTCCTACCATTAGACTCGCAGATTTGTTCCTTAATAGTTCTAAGTAATCAAAAAAGAAGTGAAGGAAAATCAGAATGGTACAAACCGGTTGCAGAATCGATGCATTCAGGCCTTTCATGATGAGTCAACAAACCCGACGTGCAATCCATCTGATCGTCCATACTGACCCTTGCAGGTATACCCTCCATTTGGGAGAAAAAGTCTTCCTTAAATGAAAATGAAGTTGCTATACAAATACCTTCATGTAAGCTTTTCATTCCACCACGATTCTCGCCCAACCACACATCTCTAGCCAAAACACACCTCCCCTTATTTGAACTATAATCTTCATGCACCGCATACCTTACGATTTTCCGGAATCTGGAAATGGAACCGTTTCATACAGTTCCTTTATGCAGTCATGTAGTTTTCTTCATTGTTACTATCCAATCTCGACATTACCTTCCCCAACACACCACCGCCTTCCCCCACTCTTCATTTCTCGTTGTTTGTGGTACCGCAGGCCCTCACCGTGACCAATCATTACGGGCATGCTCAAACAAACCAGTTGTATGAACTTTGCCAACACGAAGTTTATCTTGCAGACTTTGCAGCTTTATATCGTGCAGATGTAGTTTAGGTCTGCGTGGGATACGGCCATTATGCAGGGTGAGGGGGAAGAAGGACGGGACGGTATGACTGTATTTGGATGGAGTGCTTCTTGCACTACTGGCCTGGTTCGTTCTACCCTTTTCGGCCAAAAAATCGCACCACTGGCCTTATCCTTGTTGGCCGACACAACACCGCCAGATTCCTCATGAGCAAAGATTTAACGGCAACTGCAAATCTGTTTTAACTGTTTGATTCGAAAGTATCATTTATATGGGAAATTTGTCGTACTCTTTGTTGCAGTAATTTATTGTGTATTTTTATAACGCACTTATTTTGGAGCGTAAAATAATATTACGCTGCATGTTTGATAAATTTGTTAGACATGCTATTAGCTTAGTGTTAAGGACAAAAAAGTTTCGTCGAATGCGCATTTTGATTGTTTTTTTTTCTTGCATGCAAAGTTTATTAAAATCATTTTGTTGTTCTTAAAAGGTGCAATGAGTGCACGTCCGTTAGTAACCGTTTATAATGATAAGAGCGAAGCGACTGATAGTCAGGTTAAGTTGCCGGGTGTTTTCCGTGCACCGTTACGTCCAGATATTGTTTCCTTTGTACATGATCAAATAAGGAAGAACAAACGCCAGCCATACGCCGTTTCAACGGAAGCAGGTTTGTCCTTCGTTTTTTTTTTTGCTTTGATATATATTTTAATGTACGATGTTCTAGTAAGGCTCTGCAACTGTGCGAGAAATATTTTACAAACTCCGAGATAATTTGTAAGTGCAATTGGGAGTGAGTTATTCTTATGGAATGAATAGCACGAAAAGTGTCGTAGGGCGAGAGTTTTCATTTCTTGGAATATCTAAATACGTAATAGAAGTTATAACTTCTGCGAAATCAGAAATGAATTTTTTTCGGCGTAGATTTGAAGTCAGCTATGTTTAGGGCATCAAACTTCGGCGGAATCATGGGGCACAGGTCGTGCAGTGGCCAGAATTCCACGTGTACGAGGTGGTGGTACACATCGTTCAGGACAAGGTGCATTTGGGAATATGTGCCGTGGCGGGCGCATGTTTGCACCAACTAAGGTTCATTTCTGCGTTTTAAATTATCATAGTGTTTTTATCTGCCATCATTTATGCAGATTGGCTTGATCCACGTATTTGCCTCATTTTGAGGGTTCCTTATATTTATTGATCATTAATTAGTTGATTAACGGCTTTGATTAATGTACTTACTTTGGTATCCATCTAAATGGTCCTTAGCTTTTTCGAAAAATAAAATGAACTGTTGATTGATATGGCTGTTTTAGGTATTCCGACGTTGGCATCGTCGTGTTAATGTTGCACAAAAACGTTATGCAATGGTTTCGGCAATAGCTGCTTCAGGTGTTCCAGCTTTGGTGCAAGCACGCGGACACGTCATCGATCAAGTGCCGGAAATTCCATTCGTTGTTGTTGATAAAGTGGAAAGTTTTAAGAAAACGAAAGAGGCGGTTTCATTTCTCCGTCGTTCACATTTTTGGGCCGATATCGAGAAGGTTAGTTCCATCACAGAAAATTTGAACGCGCAGAATGCCTGATTTTTTTTTGGATAATGAAATTACTATTTTTTAGGTTTACAACTCGAAACGTAATCGAGCTGGTAAGGGAAAAGGACGCAATCGCCATTATAAGGCTAAGTTAGGTCCTCTCGTAGTGTACAATCAGGATAACGGTATCGTCAAAGCTTTCAGAAACATCCCGGGCATTCATCTGCTTCCAGTAGATCATCTAAATTTGTTGAAAGTCGCACCTGGTGGTCATCTTGGACGTTTGATCATCTGGACGGAATCAGCTTTTCGTAAATTGGATCATATATATGGGACGGAAACACGCAAAGCCATTGCCAAAGCTAAATTCGTTATGCCGACAGCAAAAATGACAAATGCTGACTTTTCGCGACTGATTCGCTCAGAGGAAATTGTTAGAGCCATTCGACAAATAAGGAAAAGCACACATAAGGTTAGGACTGCAAAAGTACATCGCAATCCGCTAAAGAAGTCCGCAATCATGGTTAAATTGAACCCATATGCAGCAGTACTGAAACGTGCCGCTATTTTGACCAATCGTAGACAACTTGGAACGCAACATCCATTTGAAGAAAAGATTCAGGTAACGATTTTTCCCTTTTATGAAGAACTCCTTACTTCCACTGGCATCCTAACAACAGCTGAATTGAATAGAACAACATTCAGAATGACTTTACATATTACTAGCTCCAATGCGCCTAAACCCCTCACAGCTTTTTTTCCTAAAGGATAGTACAATGCGGAAATACGAAGCAGCATTAAGAGAAAATACAGTCTCTTAACTAGTATACACTATCTGTCTGCCTTATAAAAGAGTCCGTTGTAATTCAGTGTCTTATATTTCAGGCCTCACGTCGGAAGGAATTAGAAAAAAAGGCTGCGAAAAAGGCAACAGCTGCAAAGTAAAAACATATTTGATGGTTGTCATGTAATCTGTTATACATCGGAATTTTGTTGCATAAATTTTTACATAAATGTGGGAGAGGTCAGCAATTTATAGTTATGCATTCATAACAAAATCACAAAAAAAGGAAATACCGGATTCAGTAAAATGGCGATGAATATTATAACTATTCATAAACCTAATTTAAAGCGCCAAGAAATTTGGAGGCCTACCGAAAAAAACGTTGAGATAAAAACAGTTTGCGAATGATATCAAGATTTACGCCGACTCAGGGTCATTAGTGCAAGTCACAATGTAGTAGCATCCAAAAAAAGCAAAAAAGTTTTCTAGGAGAATGGAGATAAAGAACTTGTTCCACGAGAGATCAGTAACAGTGAATAAAACAACGAGGAAAGTCTCAATCGCAAAAAACTTGATAAAATTCTACATTATGAACATACAATTCATGTAGGGATACGCTAACACAGTAAATCAGTAAAGCAAAAGGTAAGCATTCAGGTGGCACATTAGTTTGAATATAATGAATATATATGAATAACTGGTACGGGAGAATGAAAATGCTTCCAAAATTATGGCTAGTTTTGATAAGCATTTTGGAAACCCGAGGAATTACAATTAAGTGAATGACAATTCTTTATTTTACAATCTGGTTTACTTGGTGTAAATTCCATTTTGAAACCTTCGGCTAGGACGTCCACGCTGAAAAGATCTGCTGAAGATGAAAAAGAAAATGGGTAAAAAATCCAATTTAAAATTTATTACTGTGGGTCTTTTCAACTACCGCAGAAGATATGAGAAAAATTTCTCAACAGCGGTGCATGGAGGCTGTTGGGTGCATACATCAAAGATCTACTAACTGATAATTTTCAAACCCCGAACAAATAATTTCCAAACATGCAGGAATAAACAATAATTTCCAACGAAATACAGTTAAATTTCTTCCCTAATCCTCCTTTCTCTCACAAATAAAAGTCCTAGATTAATTTTCATCAACAAATAACTGAAAGCTGTCAAGCTTACGTCGAATTCTCCGTTAATTTGTGTACGTTAAAAGTCGTTTTCTTGATATTCATATCGATTCTTTTGAAGATATCCTGCAGACTTTCTCCATTGATATCTTGTGACTTCTTGGATTCCTCATAGCATCGATAATTCTTCAAATTCGTGGGTTTATATGATGCATGACTTTTCTCAAAGATTTCGTCATAAATTGGTATCTCGATGTACTCCTTGAGATGGAGACTTTCATTCGACCAAAGACGATTCAGTCGTTTTACTTCGCTCATCTATAATAAATATCTCATCAATGCTGTTGTTGGAAACAATATGTTCCAAGCGCTTACTTTGCTGACAGAATTACTAGTTCTTATCCTATCAACTTTTCGAAAAGACTCAAATTATCAAGTTGCTTCCCCAAAAATAAAGGGAAAAGAGATTAGCTAAGATTGGCAAACTACATGTCTCACTTCTAAGATTTCTGGGGATCTAAACATCTATTTCAATGAGATGACATGGACTGACAACTCTGTTTTTATGATGAAGACTTTTGAAGAAGCATGGAAAAGTCAAAAGCCGAACTTCGTTGATCTTTCCTTCCTTTCTAGCCGCAAACAAATTTTTATACAGTGCATTTTAAATGGTTTGTACTAGCTAAGGAAGCATCTATAGGAATAGATTTTAAACAAAATACATACTGATGTGTTGTATTTCAGCACAAGTCCCTGAAGTGTATCATTCGGTTTAATCTGATGTTGAATGGTAGTACGATAACTTTTCGCGGAAACATGAAGATTTGACAAGCTACCATATCCACGAGTTCGCTGATAACCACACAAGAATGTGCGCTCATCTTGACCTTCCATTCTTGTACCACATCATTAGTACTTAACAGTCTGAAATATCTAATTAAAACACAAGCAATACATCCTAGTACTTCCATATAACAATTCAAATCTGTCCCTATTTAATATGCATACACACAAGAAAATCTCGATCCAAAAAAATAGCATAGTGACACATATGTTCAGAATTAACTGGCCATAAATACATCGTTACAAATGGTCCCCAAATCAAGCAGCGTAGTCGTCACAAATTAGGCTGCTTGCTTTAAAGATAATGTGAGGTTGGTAGGAGAGAGACGGGGAGGGGTGTGTTAGGGAGTAGTGGAATGAGACACACAGAAAGACATAGGAAGAAAATTGACTGTTATGAGACGTGGAATTCCTACCTACTGAGTTGACACGCATCGGTATATCTCGGAGATTTCTACTATCATAAAAAGGGATAGAGAAAATCCTCTGACTGTCATAATAACGCAAAACGTGTAGCTAAACAATTGAACAGTTAGCAATAGTGTGCGTCGAACAGGAAATGAGAGGCGATGGGTGAGAGATGAGGTAGTGATTGGCGCATGGCATTGATTTCTCTCTCTCTCTCTCTCTCCCTCTCTCGTTTCCATCTTTAATTGGAGGTTTCGTTTTCTTTTTTGCTTTGTCATTAACTGCTTCCTTTTGTGTGATGTGAAAGTGAGGAAGGAGTAACTATGTCGGGATCTCGGGGTTTCTGAGGGGAAGGAAAATAATTTCGAAAAAAATGAATCAATCATTTGTTGTTATCCATTTACTCGTTTTAGTATTTCTTCCTTACATTACAAAAAAAAAAACAGTCATCATCGTGCTTATGGATTTGTCCGTTATATTGCTCTTGTTAAGATATTAAGATAAATGGATATTTAGAAAGATGGCACCAAGAAAACGTTCTACGTCAAAAACCAGTTCAAGTTCTTCATCAACGGAACGGTATGTTAATAGCAAAATAATTCATTTATGTTTACATTTAAGTTATTAAACAGATGAAGAATTTACTGTCTAATTTAGATCACGTTCACGAAGTCGTACACGTTCAAAAACCCGAAGCCGCAGTAAAACTTATTCACCAGAACGTGGCGAAGAGGGACGTCTTCATGTGGCGAATATTGATGAGTCTGTACGCGCACGAGATTTGGAAGAAGCATTTTCGTAAGATTTTTTTTGTCTACACTAATAACAGTCAGTAATATCTGATGTAGTTTTAACCTCACGTGATCTCTGCTATTTTAGTTCTCTGCTATTTTTTACCAACCTACTTTTTTCATCACATATTTTCTCTTGCAGGCGTTTTGGAAAACTCTCCGAAGTTTGGGTAGCAAGTTATCCACCACTTTTTGCATTTGTAGTATTCAAGAATAAATCGGATGCAAATGAAGCATTAGCAGCACTCAATAACACGTAAGTTGCATGTTCATATAATTCCTACTTGAGGTTGGATCCATTAGTGACGTTAGCTGTTTTCTGAAGGATAAACCTGAATAATTTCGGATCTTTTGATAGATTTCTTTCAAAAAATCAATGTATACCATATTGGACAGCTTATCGCAGTATGTTTGAAATGCGGATGATTGCGCAATTGCATTCATTGTGGTTTTAAGTATCGATCTCATCAATGAATCTGTTTTTGAAATATTTTCTTTGCAGATACATTCGTAACTGTCGAGTGCGCGTATCGGTGGCTTTACCCCGAGTTCGTGCTCACGACCGCTATCGTTTTGGTGGTGGTGGTTATGGAGGTGGTTATTATGGTGGTGGCGGTTATGGCAGGTAATTGTTTCTCACTTCATAAATTAATTTTTATATGGATTAGTGAAAAGATTTTGAAAGAATAAAAAAATGGAAATTTAGATATGGAGGTTACGGCGGCAGTCGGTATGGTGACTATGGACGTTACGGCGGGTATGGTCGAGATCGAGACAGACGGTGAGTTTTGTAGGATTTTTTTTAACTGAAATATATGGGAAGGTGGGGAAGAAAGATGGCTTAATAGAAGTTATTTAGCCACATTTCCCTGAAATACTACCTTTCAGCTCTCTATGATGTCCATTTATCCGGGATGGGTGGGATATGCGAAGGGCTATCCATTAAATTAGTTTGATATAGGCCTGGATGATGGTAAACTTTGGTTGCTTTGTGTGTGATGGAATCATTGTGGACAGTGTTGAAACTTTGATGGTAATTGGTTTGTTGGCTCGGCTCCCTCCGTCGTCCATATTGTTTGGAATGGATGAGCCGAGCTGTGAATTGGTTTTGATGTTGATGGTCCATCACTTTATGTTTTTGGCATACTCTGGAATATTGTTGTTGGAAAATGGAGAAAATGTATGGTGATGAGAACTCTGTAGTGCACGATTCGCAATTCTTTTGAAAATGGTTTTTATTCATTTTTCGGACATTGTGCAACAAATTCTCCACATTCATGTTTCAATGATCTGTAAAAGAGGTGATGTCCTCTTCACACCACCCACGAAACGCATTTTATCATGTTTTCCATTTTTACTCTGTGACTACAATTTGTCTTTTTTTTTTACGAAACCATAAAATTTGGACTTAGCGTGGGCTGTTCGGAAAAGTTCGAACTTAGCTTCGTATGTCCAGGAAGTTTTTTTGCTCCAAGATGAAGAGTTTTGCAAGGTGTATTACTGTTTTGCTCAAATAATTTACTATTCTTTGCAGACGATCACCGCCACGCCGAGAACGCGAACGTCGCAGAAGGTGTGGTAACGCTTATGCATTGTTTTGGGGTGAGAGGAGGCGATATGGAGAAAAAAAGGAAAAAGCTAGTGGGTATAATCGCATTTACATGTTGGCTGCAAAAATGATTCTGAAATGCATTTCAGGTCCCGTACTCGCTCACGGTCGCGTTCACGCTCTTCTTCTTCTCACAGTCGTTAGAACATCAGTTCTACAAGAAAAGATTTTAAAGTTTTCAAGATGATGAAATTGCTGCTGATGTCTATTCTTAATAAATTTCTATACCTGTTTAATCTCATGTGTCGTTTTTAATTTTTTTTCTATATTACTTGTATACATTTAAAATTTTTAATTCCACACAGTCGCGCAGCATCATCCACCATCTGTTTGAGAAATAATTTTTTATTTATCGGATTATATTAGTACTTTATATTTCTAATTTTAAGAACTATTGTATTTGCTAGTGTTCAAGGAGAATTAAAGCAATGTATCGAATAAATCATTGGTAAGGTTGAAATTCTATTCATTTCCAAAAATTAAACTGATTAGATTTCAGCGATAATATAGGCCGTTCTTAATAAGTTGACTGTGATAAAATATGGATGAAATCAGAGTTTTTACAATTTTGTTGTTTTTTGAGCAATCAAATATCAAGTTAGTCAGCGAATATTGCTTACATTTATATATTTTTGCCCGTAATATTTGTCCTTTTTTCCTTTATAGTTGGGAGTTTTCATTTTGACAGCATTGGAATTATCATTTTTTGTTGAACATGAAGTTGTTGCTAGCAATAAAATATTTCATCAATGCAAATAGCGTTGGAGTGTTTGTTTACTCTGTGTGCATGAGTTATTTTAGGTTTTTGAAATGGAACAAAAAAATTTGCTAATGGGAGGTGTTTCTTGTTTGCAGCTTTATGATTTTACCACATTACTGGTATGAGTGGAAGGTAGTTGAACGAAGTTCGTTAATGGAATTTTGAGATGTAATTTTAAACACAGTAGAATACTTTATTTTAAAAAAAACTCCGTGTCATTAAAACTTGGAATTCATTTCTAAAATGCGCAATGGATAAAGAATGGAAGAGAGTGTGCGAAAGACAGACAGAAACTAATCTTCGTTCATAAGTTGGTGACTAGTTCTGATGATTTGCAGTAACGTTGAAGAAAATAAAGGGAGGATAAGTTAAGTATTGAAGGTTCACAATGTTCATTGTCAAAGAACCAAAACCGATATACGTGCTATGAACCATTTTTAGGAATTACTCTGTGGATATTATGTGTATGCATAGCAGGATATCAAAACGAAATGCTTACCAGCTACTGCTCATACAGAATTCCCTGTCATCTATGGCTAACATTTGTACTGATTGGGATCGAAAATCGGAATATGATGACGGATTAGCCAGTCGTAATCATAGCCTACCTCGGGATATCGCTTGTAGGCAAGAGGAGTGTCAACAGTCATATAGTATGTCTTTTTTTTGTTCTCAAGTTGAAGGTAAATATGTTTTGTTTTCGATCTTTTTTTATCTGTTATAGTGACATCCTTAGTAGGGATATCTGAGAGATGAGAAGTATATCGTCATATCAAGGAATGTTTTAATATTCGATGACATCATAGTTCACATCCTGAATATTTTTTTAGGAAAATGTGAGATGGGAAAAGCGGACTATTATGACAATTTGGTAGTAAGTGATGATATATTGATGTCGAAGCAGGTAAGTAATAAAATGTTTGTAAATATGATAATTTGTAATCCATTGCACGTGAAAACTAAATTTAATTCATCCTTTTAGTTTACTTATGTTTTCATTTATTGATTTGCATCCAGTTTTTTATTTAACAGATTGCAATTGTAGCTTTGTCAAGCATATGGGGTCAATGTTGGAAGCAGTGAGAACATAAGTGTGAGATTGAATAGCACCAAATCTGATGAAACTTCTATTGGGTATGTAAACTATTAATACTCGATGGTTGTGGAAGAAGAAAACTATACTTCTTTTACCTTTTTTTTAATTCTACAAAGTTTGTTTGCTTTCAACTTTTAGGTCTTTGAAGAAGTTGCCAGGAAAAAGTTACATTATTGCATCATCAGGGAATAAAGGTTTGTACTGATATTTCCAAAAGGCCCGTTTAAATAGAGTTATTATTGTTTTCTGCTAATGGTCTCCACTATCTGTTGTGCTCCACTGGATAGTGGAGTCTTGAATTTGTTTTATTTAATTCAATTTTACTCTGTTTGATTTAGTCAGCCAATACGCAACCTATGTTTTTATCTTCATTTTTCTCCATTTCTGTACATAATTAATAATTATCACTTCCATTCTGCAATAACAAAAGATTCATGGTGATTCACGGATGAAATTTCCATCCACTGTGTATTTTAGAAAGCACTATTACATCATTAAAAGACCTGAAATTTTCAGCAGAGAAATGCGAGCAAAATTTGAAGGAATTGACAAATCGTCAAAAATTCTTGAAACTTTGCAATGTCAAAAACCAAAGGTCTGTTAAATTTTATTTGATTACATTGATGTTTGACGTGCTCAATAAGAGCCATGTTTAGTTTTTTTTAAACTTTTCAATGCAATTTCTGATAAAATTTTACACAATATCAGGAGTGCTAATTGCCGCTGTCAATAGAGAGATATTATTATAATTCAACTTTAGTCCAGATAAATGGCATTACTTTGCCGTATTATACTTTTTTTGTTTTAACCGCCATTGCTATAGATATTTTTTGGTTGAAAATGCTAGTCGTTGCTTTTTTCACCTAGCGTACAATCGAAAATATTAACACATTTAGTCAAATTATATAGTCAAATTATCATGCTTTATAAAAATACGAGTATTACTCTGCATTGGAATTAATACCATCTCATTCTGTTTATCTTTAAAAAGTATTGGAGCTTAAATAAGCTTAACGAATATATTTCAAAAAATATTTCATGTAATAAATTATGTTTTTATAGTCAATTATATTGTTTCATTCTCATCATGCTTTTTTTTTCATAATGAAATGTAAATTTCAGCGATAATTCAGATCGGTTAAGCCTTATCTCCTTTGCTCATGATAGAATCAAGCCGATTAATTATAAAAACATGCAGGTTGGAATTTCTTTAACGTATTTGCATAATATTTTCCATTGTGTGGTATAACTGCATCCGATGCACTTGTGCGCCACATCACATCGCCATTTTCTCTTTGCTTTATTCTATTATTTCTTATTTTTATAATGTTTGTACAATGTATCTTCTTTGCTTTACTCTGTTATTAATGTTATTAATGCAGGAAATCAGTTTTCGTGATCTGATTTCAACAAATGTGGGCGGTACTTCATGTTTATCAGAAGACAGTTCACCATTTCATAAACATTTTGGTGATGGTGACAAGAGCTCGGTAAGCTTACATGCTGAGAAATTTCTTCCAGATATCAACTCCATTCTATTTAAAGAGTGTAATATATCTATGCATTCCTTTAAATGCTCTTAATTTTTCAGAATTCAATATATCCACGTATTTCGACTCGATGGCATACATTAGCTTGTGACAGAGTTACAGGTATTAGTGATTTCTTAAAATCATATATACATCGTTTGAGTATTATTCTACTGTTGTGTTACTTGCAGCTGTCATATGTTATTCAATGTGAAGGTCACTTCAGGTATCAAAATTTTCAGACACAATAGAAAAAGGACCGTTATTACTGCATTCGACAGTATGTGATTCCAGCTGCAGTACAAGTTTAACCGAATACGATCCAAACCTTATAGCAAATTTTGACTGTCGCACTCGAAAAACTGTGATAAAATTCAATGGATATGTAGTGAGTTTCTTTTCCTCTGCACAGCAGCTACTTTTTTTTGATTCGACGAATTGTGCTAATGTGTAATATTTATGATTATTTTCATTTCACAGAGTACAGTAATGCATTATCAGCCAGAAACGAAACGTTTAATAAACGAAGCATTTCGATTACGTTTCCCACATGTTCACGTTTCCTTTAGCAAAATTAAAAGGTTTTCATTCTCATTTTTTTTTGTTCCCGAATAAATTATTTTGTTTACTTTCTTCCAGCTAACGTAATATTGACAGTTAGTGACAGCTTTGAATTTGACGCACTTTTCATTTATTTTTATTAATTTGCGGTTTTACTTTAACTTTTTTTCAGTATTAAGCGAGAGCTTCATCAAATAGCTGTTGCATGCAATTTAGAAGACACTACAACCGCACACGCCTATGTTTTCTACGAGAAAGTACTTTTGAAGGTCCATTTAAAAAATTTTATGAAGGCTATTTTAAAATTGAGATTAGTAATTCAGTTCATGTTCGAGATTTGCTTAGCCAGAGGAAATTAAATTACTGCCCGTAATGTGTATTGGAAGATCTGTCGTCAGACTTGGCACTATTTAAGTGAAAGCAATATTTCTTAACTAGTTTCAACTTTCCGTTGACTATTGATACCTAAGGGCCATTTTTTCGTAGGGCTTAGTGTGTAAAATGAACCGAAAACTGGTGGCTGGAGCAGCTCTTCTCGTTGCTGCAAAAATTACCGATTTTGGATCTGTATGTGTATCCGATGTTGTAAACGTTAGTTTCACTTCGCCTTCAAAATTATTCCTTAAGGTTCGTTTTTGAAACTGATTTCAAATGAGTTGTTAAATTAGACTTACATTTCTAGCACTTGGAATCATCATTACGGATCAACCGCAAAGAACTCTTGCGATATGAGATACCACTCTGTGCAGCACTTAGTTTCGATTTGAGAGTACCTGTTTGGCAGCTCTTACCGCATTATCAAAGGATCGCTTTAACAATATTATGATTTAAGAATATTTACTATTTTTGTACATATAGTTCGAATAAACTTTTATTCTTCTAACGAGTTACAGTTTGAAAATGCTTCATTATAAATTGGTCTCAATTATAATGGACCCGCTCACTCAATTTACAATCTTAGTAGTATTCAAAGTTATGGTAAACATTTATGTTTTTTTTTTTTCAAAAATAGAAAAAAAAATAAAAAGAGGAAACTGATACAAGAACAATTATCAAAATCAGTAACCGGATATAAAAATAACTGGTGAATCAATGGATAAGAGTGATTACATGTCATCTAGTTCTTCGTTCTTCGTCGCTCTTCTAGTAATTACCTCATTAGTATGTATGATTTGCTCACATATAGTGAGTAAATCATACATACTTTAATTTTTTATAAACATACTCTGATATTTATCACTATATGATGGTACTCTCTATTGAAATTTCGACCTGATCAGTTCTGGATATGGTTTTTTTCGACATTCTACTTTTACTCTTCTTTTGAACCTTTAATTCAGTAGCACTTAGATACCTGCAACTGCAAAATAGCACTCCTAACTTTATTATTCTTTCTCGAATTATATCACCAAAAGCTATGATTCTGCATCGTTCGTAAGTTCCTTCCGAACAACAATTTACTGATATATTTAAATATTCGTCACGGAAAAAATTTTAGAAATCTTATCGTGAAATTGTAAATCAATAGATGTTAGAAAAGTAGCTATTGACAGCGGCAATAGTTTGCTTCACAACGAAACCAGGACTCCGTTTCCGGAACCGGGTAAGCTAGCTTTTAGAAACCAAAGACGCAGTCAATTTGTCGATTAGCATCAAATTCCCCGATGCTGTTATAAATTTAATTTTCTATCAGCCGTTCCACCTGTATTGCTATTTAAATCAACTTCCCATCCCAAAATACTCAGTAGCTTGCAACAAAAAATCCTCTTATCGCTTCATTCCTCCCATTACTATCTTTGAATTTTTCATTTAGGGCAAATTGAAATAAAAATTAGGCGAACTAAATGTGAACACGCGAAAGGAAATAAATTAGAAACTGCACACCCATCCTCATGACTGTAATTGGAGCAGTAAAACATTCAATACTGTTGAAAACGAGAGAACAATACTGCAATACCAACACCAATTCCGTAAATCAACTTTGCCCTCAACAATTCACTTCAACCGCCCTACCACGTCAGAAATCGATAATTTACTCCTTAGAAAACTGGAGTATAGCTATGAATTATAGCAATTTTACTCTTGCAACCAATTATCTACCATCCTCTTTGATTCATATGGGAGACTACAAGTTGAACAATTATTTCATACTTCATGCAAACACACCGAAAATTTATTGAATACATCTTTCAAATAAATAACAAAATTTGAATAAACGAAAGAAAGCCATTCATTCTCTGAATTATCTTCGATTAGCCATTCCTGTATTTGCTGTCTTGTCGGTCATTGGTATACTCAGTTCCTGTAAATCAACATTTCAAACAATTTACCACAAAATATTAACTTACGTGTAAGTTCTATTTACATCTAACGTTCACTTGCTCAAAAATGCCATTCAATTACTGCTTATATACGGCTCACATTGTTTTTTTTAGAAAAGTTTAGAAATTTTTTACGTAATTATTAATCTATCAAAAAACTAAAGAAAAGCCTATGTAAGAGCAAAATTAAAGCGGACGAATAAATAATGAAAATAAATTTTAGTTTCTAAGTATGAATATGAAAAATTGTAAAGATAGCAAAAAGTTGAAAATAATTTTTTTGCTTTCAAATCGTTGTAAGCTATTCTAATGCAATCAGCCGCTTGACGAAGAATACAACCTAATTTCATTCATACGGTCCCGTGTTTTTGAGTCAATATGTATTCTGCCTTATTTCTAAACTGGAAGAACGAGCAGTCCTACCAGGAAAATTGCAATATGAAGACCATATTTTCACCAATCATTCTTGTAATATATTAACCCTAGCAAATTCACAAATGTAAACAAGCCAAGATTCAAATATAATGCGAGAGAAATGAAAACAAGATACAAACCATTGATTCAATCATCTGTTTGGTTTCTGTATCTACTTCGATTGTGGTCAACATCCGAGGATCAACGACAGAAATATCAGGCATATAGTTATCGCGACGTTCTCGCTCTTCCTCTTGCAATTTAATAGAAATACCACGAACTGGTCCCTTCTCAATACGTTTCATCAAGTGCGTTATGTAGCTGTAACAAACTGTAAATAATCCCGAGACTTTTTTACTCAACTTATAGTCAACTTAGAAAAACTTCGTATAAATTCCTCATCTTTCCCATATTAGGCATAATCAACTATTATTCGACAACTCAAAGTGCAATCTGAAGACGGTATGCCCTTCGAATGTTAACTCAATGATGCATACTTCATTCCAAAAATTAACAAGTATCTGTATATTAAGAATGGTAAACAAAATAATAAAAGAATCCGAGTAGAATTATGAAATTGTCACACCTCCAAATATTGCACTTATTATTGCAAAATTAAATTATTTATTTTTGGATTGTCGCTTGGGATTGGCACTAATAATAAAATCTAAAGCAGAAGTAAAATTTGTGCAAAATTATTAGTACATCAGCCTTAAATAACTCACCAATACTAAGACTTATTCGTTAATTCAATCCTCACTTACCCCGCAATACGGTTTCTCATTTTCTTGCTCGGAATAACCGCAATTTCTTCGCAAATTCGTTTGTTTGTATGAAAATCATGTGTCAACTTTGTATAGTATTTTTCAATAATCACACGGGAAGCTTTTTTCACTGTTTTTGTACGTACACGTCCACAAACCATTATTCTATTCGACCTACGTCACTTCCTTTCCTGAAAATTCTCAAAAACTACAGTGCTACATCACAGGTTGAGACTGAACTTACTGAAAAGTAATAGTCCAAGAACTTCACAAGTTAACAAAAGAACCCACAAGAAGTCAAAGTTATACACCCACACGTAACATCAACAAACAACGTAAGTAAACTGTCCCATCCCAAATCTCAACGACAGTTATAGTGGCCTTAAGCGACATATAAACCAGACGTTGTGCAAATCACTCGTTCCAAGCACCTTGCCGATAATGATAATACAGTCCGATAGCACATGTCTCTTTGTGAAAATCATATGTCTCACGCAGTAACAGTGCGTACATTTTATTTTAAAGTGGTGTGGAATTCTTTTTATCGTTTCTTCCGCTTTTTTTTCTTTAATGTCAGTGATTTTGAAAAATACTTGTCGCTTTCATTCTATTCTTAGGAAAAGCGTAATTAATTTAAATGATTTATGTAACTTAAAACGAGCTCGTTTAATACTCTCTCCCTCTTTGCGTTTTTCTGACAAATAAAGCGGGAAAGAAAATTTCTAACCTTCAATTTGATTTCTCATGATGTCGATTAGTGCAATTAGGCAGAATATCATTCAGCGAGAAGAAGATACAAACCACTGGATCCATTGTCCGATGCATTATCATTTTTGTCTTGGAATTCTACTAACATAATTTCAAAAAAATGATAATCTATGAATGAAATCAAAAATGAATGAAATTTTCATGAATTTCACTTTCAGTTTTCTTTTTTTGATTGCATATGTAGAGCGAAATAGAGATCAATAGAGAGTACGGATTGTGAAGACTTGGAAAAGGAGAAAGGTATTTGTGTTACTTATGACTGTTCTTATGTCTAAGTTATTTCGTTTATCGGAAAGAATATCGACAAATTGGGCAAAATGACGCGTAAATGCTATTACTGCAAAGCGGGAATGCCCGAACTAACGTAAGTTGCCTTTAAACCTATTGATTCTTCCGTACGACATTTGACTATTATGTTCTGTACTTACAAAATTTCAGTCAAATTCCAATTTGTTCTTTTGATTTTTGATTGTTAACTTTTCATTTTAGTACTATTTAGAGCATACATTTTAGTGTAGGCAATGAAGGTGATTCACAGTGTGAAAAGTGTAAGAAGAACGAGGAGAAATATAAAACAAAGGTAAATCTTGTGTTAGTCTCACGATTTTTGGAATAATTTTGTTTTTTTGCCCTCTTTTTATTTCTATATCTACATGACTTCTTTATAATCTTTATTAAGTAATATTTCAAATCTCCAATAATTTAACCACCGGACAATCAAATCTGCTCTTTAAAAAACCAAACCTATTAGACAAGCTGTGTCAGCGCTCCAAGCAGCACAGGGTTCTGCTATTTAATTATAACATTTATTTCAGCCGACGATATGTATGTATTGCCAATTACAAGCTGCTTTTGTTGCTAACAAATGTGTTTGGTGTTGTCATGCTGAGAGAAAGTATGGATTACCGGTGCAATGTTCTCAATGCCTTCAGAAATCTGCCTTTGTTCGAGAACCCTCACAAAAGGTTGCTAGTATTCGTAAACATTTGTGATTGATCAATTTAATTTCTCGTAATGATTGCTGATGAGTTAGCTTAGTGCGAAAAATGCATTAATAAAAAATAAATGATATTAATTGTATTATAATCATAACGTTAAATAAATTGCAGGATAAACCGCTATATTGCCGTTTATGTACAATGTCTAGAAAGGCAATGTTTGGAGAAGCATATAGCAGCATATCAAAGTCAAAAAATAGTAGTCATTCGAAACGCAGAAAACCGAATTCTTCTGAAAATAGAGGAGGAAAAATATCGAAGGTGAGGAATTTATACTTTTTACATTTTTTATTATTTTACAGGTACAGACCTTCTTATTTAAAATAAATATAAAAAGATCGGAAAAGTTAACATTTTATGTCTCAGTAATTTAAAACACTTCTCGCACAAACCTTGATGTCAACAATAATCTTCATACTTATAAAAAGAAATTTATTGTCCAATTGTTTTTGAATTTATTTGATATGATTTTTTCTTCAGCGAAATGCGATGACAGAAACAACGCTAGACAGTGCCCATTCGGAACACATCTTTGTCATTCAACAATATAAAGACGAAATTTTAGAACTGCAAAAGAAATGCTTTGAAAAAGATAGAATTATACTGGAAAGAGACAAGAAGGTTAGCTTATTGAAGCGATGAAATTATTATCATGTTCTCTTTTCACACGAGCTATAACTTCCTTTGTTTAGTACAGATATTGCTGAAAGATTGTAACAATCGGGAAGCAAAGAAATATTGTTTAGGATTTATTTATTTAAAAGTTTTTGTAATAGTCATCAACATTATCACTATTTGATAACTCGTCGGACGTCATTATGAGCTTACTTAGAAAGGCTGATGTTCTGTAGTTGTATCTGAGTTACGCCATTTATGAAGATTGATATCACTTTCATGTGCTTAACAATTTGTGATGATTTCTCACAGATCTACTTTTGTACTGATCGATTTTTACAGATTGCAGAATTGAATGCTGAAATAATAATGCAGGAGCAACAGGGACGAATGAAAATAACCATGATGCAAAAGCAGCATGCCGAATCGTTGCAGTCACTTCATGATCAAATACGAGCTTTAAACAAACAAGTATAAAATTGACATTAACTTGTTTCAAACTTCGTCTAAAATCAAATAATCTAGAATAATTTTTTAGCATCTTAATTTTTAAATTGTGATTTAAATTTTAGGTGCGGCAATTGCAGAAAGGATTTTAAGAAGCATCAGTTTGTGTGATCTCTTTTCCACTTATCCAAGTAGCATTAGTTTTTTTTTTTGATCATAATTTAAAATAATGTAAATAAAAAAATGCTTCCGAGCCAAAAGTATAACAGAGAGTCTCAGTGAATAGAATCTTTTCAACATATCAAAATATTTGAATAAAATATCAAAATATTTACTTTCAAATTTATATTTGAAAACAGTCGATGGAAATTTCACCATGCATTTTACCTACTAAAATAAATTAAAACGAAAAATATTTCTATTTTTCTGACATTGGTAATATTTATTATGTTTTTTACATGTTAATTGTATTTTATTACCCTTCTAGTTTTTTTTTCTTCTCTACATTTCATAGAATTTGAAAGCAGCAGAAATAATTGCATTTTAATGAATATATATCTTGTACTAGTGCTTGCAATTCTTAGATTCACAAAAGTTATTTATTTCGAGGAAAAGGATCAATTTTCTCCAACTAGTTTTGTTTGCAATGATTATGCATTTCTTTTCATATTTAAATCAATGAATTATTTCACCGCAATTTATATATATTGGTATGTTTTGCATATATAATTTAAGTAGGATTTAATTTTTCTTCCTTTGTAGTCATTCTTTGCCTTTTTGGTTCATATTTTGTTTTTATATATAGTGTACCTCATAGTTGCGATAATTATCTTTATCTTATTTATTGTTTTGGAAGTCCTTTTGAAGATGAACCATTTATGGATTGTCATTGATAGTTTATTCATCGTAATCTTGTTTAAACACTCAATTATTAATGTAGTCTAAAAAATACCATTCATTTTTAATATGAAATTTTATCTTACTACTAGTGCCTGTATAACATTCTACAGTGCGAATGCAGGGTTGATTCGTTCAACGTTATAATTTAATATGTCGCTTATACTGTTGTTATTTTCATAAAGTTTGAAATTTTGATGAATCAAATATTGCACATTTTGGAAAAATTCGAAAGGTTGAAAATTTGATTAAAATTTAAAAATGCTTTGATTTTGCAATATTTTAACGATTAGATGTCTCGGGTAAAGATAAGAAACAAGAGTTCAGAACATTGTGAATTTTGTAATTTAAATTCAAACGGCAAAACAATTACAAGTAATAACCAAGTAATAGTTAAACGGCACACCGAATGGAGTGCATGTTTAATCCATTCCATTCAGCATGCTGTTCAACAGTTCAATTCGCGCCGCACATGGTTGATTCAGAAAGGAAGTTCGTGATGGAATTCATTACTGCATCATGTCGAACTTAATTTCTTTCAATACCGATATCTATTCCGACTTCTGTTTCATTTCGTGAAGGTATCTGAGAGTTTACAATTATCTATATAGATTATATAAAATAGAAATGATATTTTCTATGCCAGCAATTATCTAAAAAGTAGAGCATAGTAAAAAAAAAAAAATGTGTTAATCTCAAATCTTTAAGCCTAAATAAATAAAATACAGTTCGCAAATATTCCTTCAACTTCTACAAACATTATTCACAACACGACAGCATTCAATCACAAACATTACTGAGAATAAATAAGAATTATAAATATTATAGGAATGGAAATGTATCGTTTCAAAATTTGAATAATGAAAATTAGTGGTAAAAAGAGGGATTATATTTTTGTAAAAGCTATATATTACCGCATTATATGCATCGAAGTAAATTGAAATAAAATTGAAATTAAAAGTTTGAATAGTGTTTTTCTGCATCATTTAGTGTTATGCATCATTTCTCAATAGATCAAGAAGATATTTTAAAAAAGTGAAATAAATATTGTTGACATTATAACAATAATAGTATATTTGAAGAATTATTTGAATTAAATATCGATTTTTATTCGAGAATCTTTAGGATTTTTTTTTGAAGTTTCAATACATACTATTCTTTTTTTGAGTCTTACTGAATACAGATATAAAATTTGATAAAGAAATTATACAGATGGCGAAAATTTCTGAAATATTAAATTTGCGTGTATCATTCTAAGGAAACCATAGGTACGGTTACTATGGCAATCCTATAAAATAGAATAGAAAATGTGGATTAGTATGAGTTACTGAAATTAGAATGCCTTTTGCACCAATAAAGGATGGCGAATTTACGAGCACAATTTATGGAATGGTTTGTTTTAGCAATTTAAAAAAATAAAATTTCTAGTTAAATCAACTAAGAATACTTCTAGTTAAATGAATGAAGAATTTTTTCATCAAAATTCTAATCGTTTTTTTTCTTTGAAATAAAATTTCTTTACTTTATTCTTATTCGCTCAAATAGATGTGAAAAATATAAAATACAACAATTCGAAACGAAAAAATACCGGAATTTTTAATCTAAATCACCTGACAGTTTATTCGAATCAATACTTTTATTTCACTGATAAGCAGTAAGATTTGATGAAATCAATTAGTGATTTCACTGATTGATTGTGTATTTTTAACAATTAAATAGCTGAAATGAGAAAGCTCATCAGTGTAGATGTTACTAATCATTGTCTTTGTTTTTTTTTTGTTAAATAAATCAAAAGTACAATAAAAAAAAGTTAAAAAATCAATTTGCATTTTTGCGCGTTGAAATTTTAGTTAAAGATGGTATATTTAAATGTAAATTGAAAATGTAAGTTGAAAATTATAAAAAAGAAGCCAATGACAAAATTAGAAGTTTTAAGCAAGAGAAATGAAACTCAAATTCAATTGTACGTTAAGGAAGATAAAAGATAAAATAAAAAAACTTAAAGTTGCTAAGAAATGTGATAGATTTGCGAAGTTGAGCATTTGAATAGTGAGAGTCAATAAAATTATGGCACAGAAGCCTATGTGAGAAACGGTGACAAATATTATCATCCTGAAATGACAAATTAGCTTCCGTTATTTTCATCAATCATTCCTTTTTTGAGAAATGCAAAAATTCTCAAAATGCATGGATGATATCAATTTGTCGAGAATAGAAAATGAAAAATATAGGAGAAATAGTTTAATGAGACAAAACTTTTTCTATTCAATTAAACATTGATAATTTAAATGATTAAATTTTATGATTTACAGATCAAAGAAGGTCGTTATGAAAGCGCAATTCGATCATTACAATATGAATTACAACGGATGCCAAATGTAATTTTTAACAAATTTGATCAATTTTTTTTCCTCTTTATGTGAATTCAGTTAATTGTATGATAGAAGAAGATTTTTCATAAAAAATGATTAGAGAGAAAGAGAGAGAAAGAGGAAGAGGGAGAAAAGAGAAAAAGGGAACATTATTTTTATTGAAATACGAGCATATTTGATTACAGTTGCAAAGAAGAAGAAGAAAATGGATATCACAGATATCTTGCAATCATACTAAAAATATTTTTCATTCTAGAAAATTAAAAAAAATCATAAAATTTGTAAAATTTAAATTTCTTATGAAGAATACATTTATAGAGTCGAGCGGCATTATCATTGCTTGGTTATTGTTATTTCTATTTGCAACAATTCATGGAAGCAGCGGAATGTTACGAGCAACTTGTCCAGTTATATTCATCCTATCCGGAATATCGACTTTACTGGGCTCAATCACTCTACAATGCTTTCATGTTTCCGGAAGCTACTGCTGTTATCTCACAAGTAAACCATTTCGAAAAAAACTTTTTATTTGACATTTTTCCAAAAATTAAAAAAAAAATTCATTTTCAAAAACTGAAGAGAAAATTTTAATTTTGAATATTTAAAAATTTCAAATTTTAAAAATAATGTTAGCATTATTCATATATGAAATATTTGGGATAATTTTAAAGATTGATGAGCCACAGCTTGCCCAACAAGTGCTAAAATTAGAATCAGCAATCAAATATCGTGAAGACGATATAACAAACGCACGAGCACTCGTTGAAAAATATGCAACGGATGATCCGGATAGTGATATCAACTTGGCATGCCTTGAATATAAGGTTAGCCGGTTTTGACAGGATAAGTTAATATTGGATAGGAGAGCTGGCAATTATTAAATATGTTTCAGGAAGGAAATTATGAAAAAGCGCTTGAACGTTTTACAGCCGCTACACATCTTCATGGTTATCAGGTCATTTAGAATACTGTAACATTCAAGTGATAATTTGTTTTTATTATTTCAAAACAATTAATTAATTAATTGTTTTTACTTCTGAAAAACAAATACTTTTTCAGCCGTGTTTAGCTTATTCAATAGCTTTATGCCATTATCAAATGCAAAATTATTCGCAAGCATTAAAATTCATTACTGATATCATTGATCGAGGTGTACAAGATCATCCAGGTAAATTTTTTCCAAAAATCCATCTTTTTTTAATCGAAAGTTTTTCTAACCAATCAGCAATTTGTAATTTAAATTTAAACATATATAAGCGAATTTGAACAGAATTATCAATTGGCATGGCAACGGAAGGTATGGAAGTGAGTTCAGTTGGCAATACACGTCTTCTGCATGAGACATCTTTGGTTGAAGCATGCAATTTGAAAGCAGCAATTGAGTACAATTTAAAAAATTGTACGTTTTAATTCATAATTATAAAAATGATCGGATTGTTTAATTATCAAAAATTACTTCAAAAATTTAAAATTTAATAGTTTTGAGAAAAGTTTAAAATTATTTAATATAGACATATTCTTCGATATTTTTTAGTATCAGCAGCTTCTGAAGCATTAACAGATATGCCACCAAGACTGGAAGAGGAACTCGATCCGGTCACTTTACATAATCAAGCATTAATTAATATGGATACCAATCCATCTGACGGTAATTTACTACCTCCTTTAACATCATTTTGAAATATCCAATTCTTTCATTCAATTGCATTCAATTAACTAATTAATAATTCTCGTCATTTTATAACTTTTAGAGTTTCGTATTAAAACAAAATTTTACAACGAAAACAATCATTCCATGGTTAATTAATTACTTGCAGGTTTTGCAAAATTACAATATCTTCTGACTCAAAATCCATTTCCACCGGAAACATTCAGTAATTTGCTTCTTCTATACTGCAAATTCGAGGTAACATCTTACACTTGCGGTTGAACCGGTATTTACTAAACCAGTCATCAGAACTTTTATTCAGTTGTGGATGGAAATTGATTATTGACTAATCATTTTCAGTATTATGATTTGGCAGCTGATGTTCTGGCCGAAAATGCTCATTTAACATACAAATATCTTACACAGGTTATTGTTACGAGAAATTTCATTATCATAAAAATTTTAACTTCATTTTTCATTTTTAAAATTACTATTATCATCGTTTTGTAGTATTTGTATGATTATCTCGACGCAGTAATCACACAACAAACAGCACCGATGGATGCGTATAATAAATTTGAAGCAATTGGCAACGAACAAATTAATGAATTACGCAAATTGACCAAACGTATAAATGTATGATTTTCATTGAACAAAAAAGAAAAAAGTAGATATTAATACAGTTAACTTTTACTGTATTTCTTATTCAAAGAGGGAAAAATTGGGATAAATATATGAAATAATATTTCGTTCAATTTTCAATCATAGCTAAAACAGTTTGGCTAAATCATCTTAGCTTCATAGCATATTCTGAAGCTTACTTGTCATTTGTGTATATCGTTATTTGAAATGAAACAGTGAATGAAATTTTTACATTTAACATTAACAATTATTTTTTTGAATTGTATTAATTCAGGAAATTCGTCATGGAAACGATGAGTTGGCTCTTCAAAAAGCTGTCAAAGCATATGATGACACAATGGCTAAGTAAATATTACTAGGATTATCAGAAAATTATTGAGCATCATCAAACCGGTTTATCGGAATTCATTCCATTTGACAATATTGTCATTATGAGCTAAATAGAACCATATTTATGGTGCTATTTTGAAAAAAATCCATAATTAAATTACTAGAGAACTTAATATACTTTCATTTCAATATTTCAACTTTTATGTTTATGATATATTATTTCAATTCTGTTTTCATATTTGTGATTTCGATATCGCAGTAAAATCAATATTATTAATTGAATTGAATGAGAAATTATGTGATTCAGTCTATGAATCATTCTGAATTATTATGAATTTTTAATAACTTCTTCTAATAATTTTATTTATAAATGAACTTACGGAGATTAAATTTTAATCTTTCCATTTTTTGCTCATTAATTTTACCTTATATTAAAAATAGGTATATGCCAGTATTGATGTCACAGACGAAAATTTATTGGGATATGAATGATTACGCACAGGTGGAAAAAATTTTCCGAAAATCAGTGGAATTTTGCAGTGAAAATGATGTATGGAAATTAAATGTAGCGCATACTTTATTCATGCAGGTATTTTCTCATTATTGCTAATTAATTCATTATCATTATTCAGTGAAATTATTTATGTTACTATCACTGAGCATCATATTCATTATTGGATGATTTCTTATTTAATCAAGCTGATCAAGTTGGCCATTTTTTTCTTGTCTTTTTCAGGCTAATAAATTCAAGGAAGCAGCGGGCTTTTACGAGCCAAATGTAAAAAAAAATTTTGACAATGTACGCTCAATTTTTTTTCTTGCATTTTATGGATTCCAACAATTGCAACATTTTATATTTATCGATTGATAATTGAATGATTCATTTAATTTATTTGATATGAATGATTCATCAATTTCTAATTTCAGATGCTTAGCGTAACAGCAATAATTTTGGCAAATCTCAGTGTTTGTTATATTATGACTAATCAAAATGAAGAGGTTAGTGTTTTGCAATAGAATTAAATTTAGTAAATTCAAAAAAGAGAAACAATTTGATTTTTCAAAGACAGAAAAGTTAAATTTTATCAATTATTGTCGGAGAAAAAAAAATGCGGGACGAATTTTGAAGGCTGAAGAATTGATGAAGAAAGTTGAAAATGAAGAAGAAACAAGTGCGGCAACTTCAGATAAAACAAAATTCTTCCACTTATGTATTATAAATCTCGTTATTGGTACACTTTATTGTTCGAAAGTATGTCTAAATTTCGATCGTTGGTTTTATTTTAAAAAGTTGAAATTTAAGAGAGAAAAAATGCTTTACTAGATGATATGCATATAATTTAGGGTAATTATGAATTTGGTATTTCACGAGTGATTAAAGCTATGGAACCATATGATAAGAAACTTGGGACAGATACATGGTTCTACAGTAAACGTTGCATGATTTCATTGATCGAAAATTTAGCGAAACATGTTATCAGTGTTCGAGATTCTGTGCTACAGGAATGTCTTCAATTTTTAGAACAGTGTGAAAGTTAGTTTTAAATAAAATTTAATCCTTTTCCTAAATTTATATTAGGTTTGAAAAAGGATGTAAAATTATGAATTCTATACAATATCAATTCTTAGTATTTAATTTTTGTTAAAGAATTCAAATCATTTTTAATTTTAAAATAATTGATAATTATATATATATATTCCACTTTTTTCTTCGTTGAATCTTCAAATTTAATTAGTCTCAATTTACATATGTATGTTTTTTTCCACTGGAGGTTAAACTTATAAAATTATTTAACCGAATTAGCTTCATGAATATTTCATTTCAGTTCATGGAAAAAATATTCCAACAACAATAGCCGATCCATTAATAATGGATGAATTAAAAGTTGAAAATATAAAGAATACGGTAACTTATGAAGCTCGATTATTACGAGCATTACTTTTAGAGGTAATGAATAACTGAAATAAATTCATAAATTAAATTAAAATGATGTTCCGCAATCGAGTTGTAATAATTAATGAATGAATTTTTGTTTTGTTTTTTTTTTTCCTTTTTGCTTTTTGGATGCAAATGAATACTGAAATATCAATAAATGAAAGAATGTCATATCTGTTGAAACATTTCCATCTTTGTTTGCGTTTTTTCCCTTCCAATCCGATCGAATCGGATCGAATCAAATGGAATGGAATGGAATTGATCAGACCAAATAGAACAAACAACAAATGCTTTCCTTTTAACTCACTCCTCATTTATCTCCTCCTTCCACTTATCTCATCCGTTAATTATCCAATGACATGGACATTTATCTACATCATCCCTTTAGCAACAACTTCTCAACCAAATTAATTTCCATTCAATTCAGAAATAATTTTAATTTATTTACTTAGTCGAGAAATGCTTTATTATCTCTCTTGCAATTCGGTTATTCCTTCCATCTTCGCTCATTCATACGTCCGTCGGACATAAGGACGTGATGATGCATGCAATATCATCCAACGTCAAATGAGAAGGTGTCTGTATCAGAGAAGCTTTCCTTAAAAGGATGCTAATTTCCCATGATTCAAATTGTCGCCTTGTGGGCAGTATGCCAAAGAATTCACGTGCATCTTTGCAATGTCTAGACGACTTTTGGAATGCGCGTGGGAGTGTCGAGGGTGGACGGGCGGGCGGGTG